AATGGTTCATCACAGTTTTGATCTATTTTGCATCTGCATTTTAAACAGTTGTTAATGCACAGTTTATTTCACTATGGCTTAAAGATGCATTATGCAGGAGCTAAATCTGCCTATTTCAGGTTTTTCTTTAGGCCTTAAATGTTATATAAATTATTAATTAGACATTTATTAACTTGACAAGACCATAATCAACTCTCGATGCTATTGAATGCTTGAGATTTTCAACAGATTTAAACACGATTAGTGGTTAATGATTTAAATAAAAATGGATGATCAAGACATCGTTTACTATCGTAACAGTAGCAATGACAATTGAGAATCCCCATTCTCCAAACAGCCCTAACGTCATTCATAATGAAGCAATTTGACTGAAATTTTTAAGACATTCCCTTTTCATTATCTAGTTTTTATCTATTATAGCGAGAACTGTCAGCTCTTACATAAATCTTACATAATGCCTCTTTAAGATAAGTTTGTAATTATTTGTTACACCCATTCCAAGACATGAGATACAATGTAACCTCCTTTAGTCGAACAGTTAGGTTTTTGCTTAAAACAACCAATAGCTTAGTAGGGAATCGCTTCAGTGGGGTGCCCTATGATAACGAGAAAGACAATTACTTTCAATAGATAAATTAAAATCAATTTTAAAAAAACCCAAACAAAAACAGGTAAATAATTATAATATTATAATATTGTAGCTATTCATTGTAAATTAAAGATGATGGCAATATAAACAGTAAAAGTGGCAGCACATGGATAATTTAAAGAAAATAAACTCCCTCCTTTTCTTGAACTAAACTATGGAAATCTACGAATTTTACTTTGATAGACAGATACATATTTACCAATTTTGGTTATGTCCATCGTTTCAAAGTGTTCCCTCCCTGTCAAAACCCGTTTGCCCACCCGCTGCTCATGCTCATAGAATTAAAGTGTCTTCAACTCGTGATATATGCAGCCACATGCTTCTATACTTTCTCGCTTACCTTGATATATTGTTGCCTACAACAACGAGTATAAATTTCTCAACAGCATAGAACAATGCCGTTAATTCTTATTTATTCTACATTGCAATAGATATACACTTTATAAACTTAAGTTTATAAATGCATTTTAGAATTAGATAAAAAAAAAAAATAAGCTCACTTGTCACACGTAATTAAATTAATGAAAAATTATTTTTTTTATGCACATGTACAGTATTCTAATTCTGTATTAAAAAGTTAATTTGAAGATTATATGCAAATTAGATGAATTTTAAGAGATCCATGTTGAAACAAGTATTAATTTATTTCCTGTGAGGTTATGAGTAATGAGATAGAAAAGGCCTCAGGGCCTTTATAAAAGCTGATCTTTAGTCATGACATTAAAATCAACCACATAGATTTCAATAGCTGTAAATAAATACCCAGGTATGTCTTCGTCTAAATATTCTAGTTTGCAAAGTTTTATTTATCTTGAAAAGTTATCAAATAGATTGGATGCAACTTTTTGTCTTATTAAAGGATTCATTTGTTGGATAATAATGAATAGTTTTTGTTGACATTGCATATTTAGTTATGCATGGTTTTAATGTTATTGAATTCTGCAACGGCTTGAAGCAGATAGCTGAGTAAGGTCATAAAATATTAATCTGTTGTGTGTAGTTATATTGTCATCTTACAAATGACAACCTGTGAAATTTTGAGCTTTTAATTTTATTGAGTTATTGATACAGGGTTTTAGAATGATCTCAAATTAATCGTTTTCAACTTGAGATAATTAATTTGCTCAAATAAATATACATTAATGAAACCAAAAAATAACTGCTTTCTTCAATGAAGTATTTCTGCAAAAAAACTAATAAAATCTCAAAATTGATGCATGCAAAAGAACATTTGACAATTGGAATTCAAAATAAAACTAGGCGATAATGCCGCTGTCTGGGCAAAAATTCACCTCATAGCACACTGTATGGCATATGCTCTTCTTCATTAGCCCAGTTGGTGCAGAAAAATAGGATGTGAAACCTCATTTCATTTATTTCATTTCATATTAATATTACCCTTGGGGCTTCATTGAGATGAACTGCATTTATTAAAATGATTTCAGTCAGTGTTATGGCTTTATGAGACAATTCTGTTTCTTGAAAGATATTTTGAAAATACTGCAATTGAATCAGTAGTGTTGCACTAAGTGATTTTCCTCTTTAAATTGTATAATGTGCATGTGTACTTCACCTTAAAGTTAAAGATTGGCATATATACCTGTTTTCTTCGACTAAATGAAAAGCTGTGCTTTTATCACTTTTAAGCTAGAAAGATTGTTTATGTGACTTGCTAGTATTACAAGTGTTTGTTTGATCCTGTTGGAAGTTGTACACATATTTTTTTAGTCAGGTCTGAGGTATTACTTATTCATAAATGTTGGGTTAAATCGTGGGATGTTAAGAATAAGGTTATTTTCTTGAATTTTTAGCAGGGAGGAAGGGCTATTTTAGGTGGCTGAATGGTCCAATATGTGTACTTTAGATCATAAGATCTGTCTTTGAGTCACTGTTTTGATGCCACACTTGTACATGACAAGGTGTAGGATTGTCTGCCTAACCTCATGGGTCCATCAGGTTTCCTCCCACTGCTAAAATAAAATTGTTAGTCTCAAAATAACCTAGTTTGTGTTGAGTGGCTGTTAAACCCCATTTCTCTCTCCTCCTTGAATTTTATATAATATTTTGTTATTTGCAATGTTATAATGAAGGATCTTAAGTGAGACTAAATCATTGCAGGGCAATATATTTCTCAACAGGTAAACAAACTGGTTAATGGTTGGCTAATCTTAACCTTTTAAATATAGTGGTTGATAGTTGGAGGGTCACTGTGTAGTCCTGTATATTGGTAGATAAAGCTAAGGTATGAGTCATACCACACCAACGATGAGTAATACCCCAAATTAGGCAACTGGGCCAACACAATAAATACACACACTTCTCTCTCTACAACAGTTATCAATCCTCTTTATACTCTGTTTCTTTATAGTTCACTTGACCTATACTCTGTTTATATGTAAGCCTTTGAGAAGGTGATAATATTCTATGTATTATGAGCTATAAAGTCATTTAATGTTATGTATTATATGTACATGTATGTGTATATACATATAATTTAATATGAAAAGGGCAAAAGACACACATCTTGACAGTTGTTTAACTGTAGATCCTGTTACAAGAGAGGTTAAAACTTGCTCTCTATACAGAGACTTTAAATGTCATGTTGACCATTTTATAACATAAATGTGTGAAAAGTCTGAAAATAAAACCTAAACACAACACAAAATTAAATGAAAGTTCTGAATTGTAATTTCTTAAATTGAGGCTTGAATTTTCAATTAATTGTGTAAAAATGAAGCTACTATCTTCCCTATGACCTTGTCATTTTCGTTATGCATGGTACGGACACTTGCACTTTAGATCATAAGGCCTGTCATTGAGACAAATAGCATTGGTTAAATCCCACTTTTGTATGTGATGAGGAGTACGGTCACCTGTCCAACCTTGTTGGCTTTCTCCTGGTCCTCCGGTTTCCTGCCTGCAGCTAAAAATTTAAATGAAATAAAGCCATGTTAGTCCAGGAATTACATGATTTGTGTCAAGTGGACAATAAACCTTATTTCTCTCTCTCTCTCTTCCTAGAATCATTTTTCCAATAGTGTTTTATATTTGCGAATATTTGATTGAATATATATGGTATGATTGAATATATATGGTATGTGAAAGTTATTATATGAAAGTATTTGAATAAAGTTATTGTGATAGTTGACAGTGTAATACTGTGATTATATAGTTGACGTGTAGGTGTATTAAACAATAGATTGATTGTTGAACAATTTAACAACCAGGATATAACATTATACTATTATAGCAATATAGTACCGGTATGGTGAACTACTTTCAATATGAATATAATAATGTCCGCTTTAAATGTTCTTACAATGATGTCAGCCATGTGAATTTTCTTCGGTTTCCTCCCACTCATAAAGACGCTTACACGCAAGCGAATTATTGAAATAAAATCGAATAATATATATAAGTCCTGAAATGACCTAGTTTGTGTTGAGTGAGCGTTATACTCCATTTCTCTCTCGTACAATGAAGAGAAAAGTACATGAATGCTGATAATAAAATCTCTAGGCTATTCAATGGATTAGACAACGCCTGTCATATCTGTGTTAAATGATATAATGTCGGTGAAGCCAAAATTCTCTAAACAATGCCTGACATCACTCACGAGAACTGTCGATATTTTTATATATTATAAAGTCTTATTTTAATTTAAAGTAATACAAATTTTAAATTAAAACACATTTAATTACCAGTAGATCTGCTGTCTGAAACCTGATATAAGTAACCATACATGAACTATTGTAGCAAGAATGGCCAGATCTTTATCTATAAATATAAATAATTTAAATATTGAATCATAAAATTACTTGTTGAGATTTTCAGTTCAGACATAATTTATTATATTTGTGCATTCTATAGAGATAGACAGATAGGTGCTTGGTAATACTTGCATCATTACTTTCTGCAAGATCAAATTCCAACACCTTTGATGTTTTAAATGTTTATGAACATTATTATTAAGTTTGCATGTAATAGATGGCTTAGATATACAATATTTTCTCCATCTTCATTAGCCCAGCCGGTGCAGAAAAGTAGGACATTAAACCCCTTTTCATTTTCATATCAATTTTTTCTTTGGAATGGCCGAAAAACCAAGGTCCTGTGTATATGGTGGCATGCACATGAAAGAAGCCTTGACAATTGGAATTTGAAATAAGAGTAGACTGGAGCACCAATTTCCAGACTTTCTTTTTTTTTTCATTTCATTTGTTAGTTTAGTTAAATATTTTGACAATTCTCTAGTCTACACATGCAAAAGAATGGATGAAGTCTGTATTTCTTCGCAATGGTGATTGATTGTTTTATTTTCAATGTTTTTTTTTTTATTATCTGATTTCAGGTAGAAATGAATTAATTGCCAGATATATCAAATTACGAACCGGTAAAACAAGAACAAGAAAACAAGTGTCCAGTCATATCCAAGTTTTAGCTCGCAGGAAATCGAAAGAGATCCAAGCGCAGCTTAAGGTACCGGTAATAACAAATTTTGATTATTCATCTTTTATTCTATACTGTCTTTCATTCATAAGAAAACCAGAACAATTCCAAGAGATAATTGGAGAAAAATGGAGAGACATAGTAAATTCATCTACAGGTGTATATGTATAGAAGTCAGGAGGCATGATATTTGGTTTTATTCATGAAACAAAACAAAGCCTCTTTGATCAATTTTCACTTTAAAATCCTATCCTTGGAAAAATCTTACTGAATAGGAGCCGTGTTGGCTCAGTGAGTAGGATGCAGGCTCATTAAACAGGAGGTCTCGGGTTCACTCTCGGTGTTTTCCTAGAAAGTTTCTAGGGGTTTTCTGACATAGTGTTGGTCAAGATTTTCCAGCACAATTTTTCCTAGTCAGTGGTGAAGGATAGATGGCCTGGCAATGACTGTGTCTACACCTTCGGATGGAACAATGAACTGCGGTCCTGTGTACACATTCACTTGCAAGTAAAAGATCCCATGATGACCGGAATTCATAATAAAAGTAGGCAGTAGCGCTGTTGTCAAGACAAAATTTCCCTCGTCGCACACTATATAACATATGTCCATCTCAGTCGATGCAGAAAAGTAGGACGTTAAACCCCCCCTTTCATTTCTGAATAATTGTCATTTTAATATTCCTCCATTTCTTCATTTAAACTTTGGTCTGTTCTGGGTTTTGTTTTGTTTTTTTTTGTTTTTATTTAGAATTTCTGATGTGTTATACATGTACTCTGATCAGTTCAAAAAATTATTTATGTTATTATAAAAATTGGTTTTAATCACATAATAATAGCATTAGCTGGAATTTGAAAATTGATCAAAGTATAAACTGATATTATGTAGTTGTTGCACAATCATGCTTCCATCAAGGCTCTAGTTAATTTATTTTTCTATAAAAATGTGACTAATTGTAAACTTCAGACAGTGTTTTCTAATATTGCAACAGTTTAGATATGATTGATACACACGTCACACAGTGTACTAAAATTGTCACATTTTAAGAAAAATGCTCTATGCTAAAAATATCTGCACTGATCACTTGTCATCTAGAGGAATGGCTTTAAAACTAACTCATATATCTGCATCAGTATACCAGGGCACATGGAATAAATATCCCACGAATATCCATCTTGTTAAACATCCAACTAAAAGACCTGAATCAAAATTAGCATCAATTGTACTAATATTAATTTGATGAGACAGTTGACAATTTGGGTAGTTTTGGCGCCAGCTGGTAAAGGTTATTGTTTTTAGAGATTGACTGGAACCAAACATGGATTAGTAATTTTGATGGCAATTTAAATTATATAAAGTATTTGGACCTACCCTACCAAGAAACCATGTTTTTTCATATGTACAGAAAGAGGGTTGGGTTGTCGAATGGTCCAACACATGCGATTTAAAGTGGTGCAGTTTCGATCCCAAGCTTGTGTGTTAAAAGGGTTAGGATTGTCGACTTAATCTCGTTGGTTTATCCTGGTCCCCCGGTTTCCTTCCAATGCTAAAGACACCTTTGGTCAAGCAAATTATTGAAAGAAAATTGTACCATATGATAGTCATCAGGTCTTTTACTTCAATGTTTCATATGGGATACAGATATTTATTTTGAGTTCCTGTGTAATAGACTATTGGTTGTGGCTGATTGTAATCACTGGCTGGAAGCTCTTGTCTGAATTATCTTTGGTTTGAATAATCTTCATTTAAAACCACAAAAGTTTTAGTATGGAAAGAGATTAATTTGTTTAATTATTATTAGAAAATAATTCTGATTGTCCACAGATTTCTTATTTTGAGTTTTGGCTTTACAATAAAATTTGAATGTTTTTGATTTAAAAAAAAAAACATGAGTTTCGGCAAAATCATCTTTGATTCAACAGCAGCACCCAATCATCCATCAAAAATAGCAAATATAAGCTCATTCGGCAAACCTCGGCAGGCTTCGGTACCTTGCGTTTAACCTCGACTGTATGACAAATTCCACCATTGGAACTGCTTTCAGGTTCCCAGATCAAAAATGGCAGCTGTTTTTCTTTCAAGTTTATCCGATTTTCTTTAAACAAAGGACAACTTTGCAATGAAAACTCTGCGCACTATTCGAACGATGCCATTTTGAGAACTTCTTTCTAAAAACGGAAAGTTTCCTAATGATTAAACCGGTAGCCGCATCACAATTGTATGGGTGTAGCTACATATCACTTACCGAGCCGAGGTTAGATGTAGGGTACTGGAGTCTGCCGAGGTTTGCCGAATAATATCGGCTCTCATGATTTCATGTGCACATTAGGTGATATGAAAAGATAATATAAAGGGGAGTGCCATGTGATATGCCATCTCATTATTTGATTCATAAAAACCAACTGTAACAAACTTACAAAACCCACAGCTTTAGGGACAATCGCAAAATTTCCAAATGAATAATCTGCGGATAGATCTTGAACCCCAATTGTGCCGACAAGATAAAAAAATGTTGACATATTTCTATTCATGAATCAACATTTAATTTATCATTTTCTATCTAACCTGGTTCCATGGTTCCACCTTGTCAGTTGTGTAGGATGGGAAAAATTTCCCTCATAGCACACTGCATTGCAAATGTTTGTTTCATTAGCCCAGTCTGAACAGAACAATCAGACGATAAACCCCATTTCATTTCATTTGAACACAAGTGTTGAAATTTTGCGAGGGTCCCTTGTTAATAAATTTTCATAGCTTGCTTATAACATCTTATATGAATTTAGTGGTTTGCAATATAAGGGAGATAACTCTCATTGATCAGCAACTAACCAAATTGCTTAGTTTATTTATTATAACTAAAAAGACACATTATTATCATTGTTATCATCATTCTTTTCATCACCTTGGTTTCTAAAACATAAATTTAGATTTATTTTCCAATTCTGAAGAAAAATAACATGAATTACAATGTAGGTTTCTAAAACTTTAATTTTCTCAATTCTGAACAATACAACTTGAATGACAATGTAGGTCGCTATTTGACTCATATAAAACAGAGAAAGCAAGCGGTGTTTCATCCCATTGGTTTCTAATTTTGATTTTTTCCAATTCTGAAGAAAATAACTTATGACAATTTAAGTCTATTTTACTAAAAGAAACAGAGAAAGCAAGCGTTGTTTCAGTTCAGTTTAGTTTGCGATAAATATAGGAGATATATTATTAAAAAAAAACCAACAACCATATACTAAGTAAAGTATTTTACGAATTTGAAATAGAACATTTGAACTCAGATATTTAATGCAGATAATACACTGCGAGAGAAACATCATATTCTTTCATTGCATGAGGTTGCAGTTTTCATTATTATAATTTTTGCATGGTTTAATTTTAATGTTAAGTAGTGTAGTTATCATTTTGTTAGTTTAATATTTCATGGATTTTTTTTTTTGTTAAGATTTTTATTTTTTTATTTAAACGAACAGTTGCATGAAATTCAAGCTTGTTTTGCATGAATTTTTTTTTTTTTATCAGAAACCAAAATAGTACCTTTTTTTGGATTTTTGAAACAAATTAAAACCAAATTTTTAAAGTTACAGAGCAGAGGAATGGTAATCGATTTGTTGGCATTTTTAAAATGTTTTGGACCAAAACATTGAATTTAAGAGACAGTATGTTATTAAATTCTGAGTAAAATGTCGACAAGGAGGTATCCAACAAAATGCAAAAGGAAACCTCTTTCAAATCAATTTTAGAAATACTTTAGGAAATAATAATATTAAGTGATTAACCTCTAAAAGTAGGTATTATATAATATCTGTGTCGGTCATTCAAAACGTTCAGAATTCTAGAAACCTCATCATCATCACTATCATTATCATCTTCTTATTAATAAAAATCATTCATTATCTTAATTGCACATTAGAGATTAATTACATCTAGATTTTGTAATAATTTTATTTTGATTCTCGTAGAAATTAGCCATTCGTAATAATTTTTTCTTTCACAAAATAAAGGAGTAGAATTACTTTTTTCTTATTCAGTCTCTACATTTTATTCCAGAAATTTAGATTTTACTAGATAATATATATTAGTCTAGATTTTATCACCTTTAAATGAACAATTTAGAACTTTAAATCATGATTGATTCACAATTTAGAAACTTCTCTTCTTATATTAATAATTTTGCTTTAAAAACTAAAATAACTTTCATCCAAACAAAAGATTTTTAACTTTTATAGCTTTTTATTTCTTTATAACTTACATGTCAAGTACTGTGTCTTATATATATATATATATAAATGTTCTATTTTTCATTATTGAAATTTTCAAAACAGTTAAATTTTTAAAATTAAGAAAGAAAAATGAAAATTGATAAAACTAATTAATATTTAATCAATAATTACGATAATTATCTTTAAAATTCTAATTGATTGCGAAAAAATATGAGGTTTTCTTGTGCGTCTGTTTCAGGATGATTCAACGCGAGACAAGGTGATGCAACAAATGGTTTCCATGTCCTCTGCTCAGGTCGTTGCCACGGATATAGGCTTACGTTTGCCTCTCTCTAATCTGCAGGACCAGGCATGTCGTGACAAGGCGCTACAACAAATGGCGTCAATGTCATCTGCACAGATTGTTTCAGCTAGTGCCATGCACAACAAAAATCTCGCTTCCGGTCTTAGTGGGCTGTCTGGTATGACCCCCGTTAGACCCGGGTATCCGGGAGCTCCCCCGGTGAGTTGGCATGTCTTAGAGTGGTCTCCCCTTTCAAGCCTCGTTCTGCTTGAGAATCTTGCAGTTTTCTTGAATTAAGGTTTTAGATGGTCAAAATTATATAGTTTACCTTGAAAAAACAATCTTTGTAAGGTACCGTATTCATAAATTCTTCAGAACATCGACAACTGATTGAATAATGCATTATATTAAAATATTGCATTGTTGTTTAAACCATAGCAAGATTCTTTCAGGACAGGCTTGTCTGTTGTATACATATTTGCTTCTCCATGGTTTTTAGAAGTTATGTCCCTTTAGCTAGCCTAACATTTTTAGTTTTTCTAGATTATCCCCCTTTACCCTGCACCTTTAAATGTCAATTTTTAAGTTTCATTATTTAATTTAGTTTCTTTTTATGATGAATAAAAATAAAAGGTTTATAATTTATCACATTTCTCTGTTGATGGTATCAAACATTAATTTCACTATTTTTCTTTTCTGGTTAAAGTTTTAGAAAATAAGAAAAAGACATGTTAGATTGATCGATGACTAAATTAATCATTTCAAATATAGGTTTTTATAAAAAAAAATATTTTTTGATATTTCAGTTTTGGCAGCCGGGTTTAACAGCCCAAGGAGAGTAAGTAATTTATAAGTTATAAAACTACATCTGAATTTATATATATTTAAGTTTATAAAAGTAATTGTAGCCTGCAGGCAGTTTTATCTAAACTGATTAAGAAGTATAATTTTAAAGTTTTAACGGCTAGAGGGCTATTTTGATTTAACCGTAACATACAATAATATCTAGGCTAGCAAGATCATTTAGTTTTAAACGAAATAGGTCTCATGAAAAAGCTGTGAATCTTACTTCAGGTAGCTAAAACATTTGACATTCTATGTTTTATTTATTTATTTTTTTTCAGTGTTAAACCATTTGGTTCTCCTGGTTATGGCCTAGAGTCTAAATTACCTTCAGCAATCCCAGGGGAGATGACCCCAGCATGGCAAGGTCGTTCAATAGCTGGACCAAAATTACGCCTCGGTGAATTCTCTGCATTTTTAGAACAACAGAGAGATCCAGATTCTTATCATAAACATTTGTTTGTCCATATTCAGTCTAATCCAACATACAACGACCCTCTTCTAGAGGTAGGTAAACTAACCTAGTAAATTATATAATCAGTTTCAAGTAATAATTGTATGATGATAAAATAACATATTGTCCTTGTCTTTCACAATCTGATGATTGTCATAATAATGATGTACATGTTATTTTTGGAGTAGTTATTACAGATGCATTATGTAAGAACTAAATTTACCTATTTAAAGTCTTTCTTTAGATATGTTTTAACATAACAAGCCTATAATCAACTCTCTAGGTCATCAGATGGCTGAGATATGAACAAAAATGTTAAAATAGACTAAAAATATCTTTTTAATGATATAACAAGCAAGGTAAAAGTTAAGATTTAACAAATAAAGTGATCTAAATTTCAACAGTTTTGATCATATATTATTATAAAACCACGACTTGCAACTTCCATGAAATGAAAACAGTTCCGAAGATTGAGATTAATAATTTGATTATGTATGTATTGTGTTTCAGTCTGTTGATATACGACAGATTTATGATAAATTTCCTGAAAAGAAAGGAGGTTTAAAGGAATTATATGATAAAGGTCCACAAACAGCATTTTTCCTTGTCAAATTCTGGGTAAGCTACAATTCCATATTACACAATTATGTTGGACTGTTTTAAGTTGCTTATAGTAAGTAACTGTGCATGATTTGCATTTTTTGGGAAAATATCACATTATTGAACTGATATTCCTAATTAGAGATTCAACTTTTACAATATGGTAGTTTGCAAGGGATTCCAAAAGCGCTCAAGTCACACTCATATACTTAAAAGATATATCCTCTAGACTTGTGATCTCTTATTGTTCAGAGATTATATATAACCAAACTGCAGGCAAAAGCTTATTTGTTGCAAAAAATGTTTTATGATTTGGAAATCCTATTCTTTCTCATTTTGTGTGTCCAATTATTTTATATTTCCATTATTGAGGTGTCACTGGTATTTTAGTTTTAGGTAAATAGTTATTGATAAGTGACCTATTGGTTGATATTCTATGAGATTGAATCAGTCAACCAATATTAAGACGTCATATTGCTAGTGTCTGAACATTGCAATTTCATAGTGTCAATTTTGAACAGAGCAGGTAGATTGTCGTGTGTCACTGCTATTGTGTATCATGTAAGTCATAGGTCCGCCATCACTGCATTATAGCCTACCTTTTCATGTCTTAACAACTATCTGTGACTTTCCAACGACAGGACAGGATTTCATATTTTATCTAATGTGAGCTAACTAATCTCTTTCAGTCAACAGTTTTACTTTTGAGGTCATAACAAATATAATACATTTAGTTAAGAATAAATAAGTTTTCAGGTTGTACTAAAATAGGTACACTGCATGGTGTACGCCCATCTTCATTAGCCCAGTCCGTGCGGAAAAGTAGGACATTAAGCCACCTTTCATTTCATTTGTACTAAATAATCTAATTACCCTTGAGCTTGTGGGAATGTATCTGTTAATATCATGTTTACATTCGTGTTATTCTACTTTTACTTTCTTACTTTACATTCACTCATTTTACTCTGAAAAGGGAACTCTCCTATACAAGAGTCTAGTTTAGAGTAAAATAAATATGGTTGAAAAGAATGACTTACTTTATTCTAGCATATTAACAATATCTTTAACTGGCTTTTATTTATGAAATGAGGTTTAAAAAAATGAAATTAAATGGGGATTAACAATCTACTTTTCTGCACCGACTAAACTCTTGAAGACAGGCATACACCATGAGTTGTTCTATGAGGGAAATTTTGCCAGGGAACCATGAAAGAAAATCATGATGAACTATCTTGGCCAACACCGGGATCACTGAGTTACAACAGCTTCTATTTATTTATTTCAGGGGGATATCAATACCAATGTTCAAGATGAAGCTGGTGCATTTTATGGAGTAACAAGCCAGTAAGTAAAATTTACCTGTACTGTTTTTGTAGTGAAATCATTTCCTCGATTTCTTTTTGTGCTAAGTGATTGTAAGGAGTTGACATGCCAGAATTTTAAAACAAGTTATGTAATGTCCAATGATGCCAGAGTATTAAAACTAGTAATTTAATGTCCAATGATGCCAGAATTTTAAAACAAATAATTTTGCCAGAATTTTAAAACAAATAATTATGCCAGAATTATAAAACTAGTAATTTAATGTCCCATGATGCCAGAAATGTCAGCTGTATTCTGGATTAAATACTAACAGTTTATTATAATGGTGTTTTATAGGTATGAAAGTAGTGAGAATATGACAATACAGGTTTCTACCAAGGTGTGTTCATTTGGTAAACAGGTTGTAGAGAAAGTTGAGGTAAGATAATCACTAGGTTAATCTACATACCTATATATATATAGTGGTATCAATTATGGGGCCGTTGGGGGACCACAATAGATCACAAGGTATGAGTCAAGTGTTGGGATTTTGGTTACCTGCTTTTACCTGACAAGGAGTAGGGTTGTCTGCCCAACCGTGTGGGTTTTCTCCCATTGCTAAAGACCCCAATGTGAAAGCAAATTATTGAATTAAAATTGTAGCATATTTGTCCCAAAATCACCTAGTTTGGTCATAAAAAAGATGGCATGTACATCGATGTTGTTCAATGTCCGTTATCACTTCATGAATTAAATGTTACAGGATTTAATCTTTTCACTTCCATTATAACATATGTATATTATTTTTCAGACTGAATATGCACGTTTTGAGAATGGTCGGTTTATGTATCGTATTCATCGTTCTCCTATGTGTGAATATATGATTAACTTTATTCACAAATTAAAACATCTACCAGAAAAGTACATGATGAACAGTGTTCTTGAAAACTTTACAATTCTACAGGTATTACAGTTTTCTTTATAAAAAAAAAAAAAGCGGGTAGGATAGTTGAGTGGTCTAATGTGTGCGCTTTAGCTTATAAGGTCTGTCATTGAGTCAGGTGAAGTGGTTTCAGTCCCTTGCTTGTATGTGACAAGGAGTTGGGTTGCCCAATTTGCACAATTAATGCAAGTTTGTGGCTACATGGAATTTGGTTACAGAACTTAAATGCTGGGCCTAATATTTGTCATAAACTTTACAATCAATTTATATTTCAAACATTGGCCAGTTACAATGATGTCATGCATTCATTAGCAGGCCAGTCTCTGGCTTGAATTATTTGTTAAAATATTATTATTGTTCAACTTACATCTTTTCCTATCACTAAATGCCTTACAAACATCTATTGTTTTGATAAATTTTTACAAATTTTGAATTTGCTTTCTTTCAGGTTATTACAAATAGAGACACACAGGAAACGCTGATCTGTATTGCCTTCGTGTTTGAAGTATCAACTAGTGAACACGGAGCACAACATCACACTTATAAACTAGTGAAAGACTGAACACGCTTCACTATAGACAATTACATAGACTCATGGGAGACCACTCTTAACGCATGTTTTGAAAAGGAAGATGACTCTCATCGAATGTGCTTTTAAAGGGAAGTAACTCTAATATCCTTGTTCATGAAGGATATAAGGATAAAATGTGCTAAAGATAAAAAAACACCTTTACCAGCCACCTTTTTATATACAAAGCAATAGAAGACTTTATTAGATGTGAACAAACATTAAATGTTCAAACTTAAAGTGTTCAGTTGTTGATGAAGATTGTGGAGGAAGCACGGACATTGTAACATTGTGTGTCATATTATAAACAAAGCAAAAGAAATCAACATTGTTCTGTTAAAGATCTCCAGTCATTATATTACCATGCTTCATTATACATTTGTTAGTGCTTGGAAATTTAATTTCCTTTTATATTATTATTATATTTTTTTTTTTAAATTCTTTGAAGAACTTTGCATAAAATTGGCAATAAGTTTCTTTGAAAAATTTCTTTTCGTAGTTGTTGGGTTTTTGTATAAAAAAATGTTTGTGCTGTAGAAACCCTGATATAGAAAATTGTAGAGTTTTTATTTGTAGTTATCTTCTGTTTGTGTGATTAGAAAGTAAACCAGTATGGTCTAATCTTAGTATTTTACACATTTTTATCTTCTGTCTTTTATTTTTTTAAATATTTCTGATTCGATCTTGACATCAATTTCTTAAAACAATAACGCTTTCTTCTAGTGACGTTTTTGGCCAAACGCATGTTCTTTAGATCATGTTGTCTGTCATCGAGTGAAGTGGCATGGTTTCAATTCCAAACTTGTACGTGACGAGGCGTAGTGTCACTTGAACAACCTTGTGGGTTTTCTCCAGTTATCGCCCCCGATAAAGAGTACCTACTACCACCTACGTGCGATCAAATAATTAAAATAAAATTGTAGCAAATGTTAGTCCAAAATGACTTAGTTTGTGTCTAGCGGACATTAAACCCCATTTATTTCACTCGTAATTTATTCAGAGCATCATTGTTATTTTAAGAAATTAAAGAAAGATGGACATGTGTAAAGTAATAAGACTGTTTTTAGTCATATCTTTTGTACTTGCCGGTTTATTTGTTATTGATTATGTTTTTGTTTTCTGAAGTTATATATATTAAAATTCATCATGTTAAAAGATTTGTAAAATTGAAGAGAAGGAATAGCATCAATTTCGACAGACATATTATAAATCTTTTTATGCACTCTCTTAATAATATGTATCTGTCAGTATTATATACTAGTGAAAAATAGTTTAATGAATGGAGTAGAAACAATACCAAGATACACCCACCCTTTATGAATAAAAATGAGTACGATATGGACTAGGAACTGATCATGACGCTATTGACGTCATCTTGGAATTGTGACATCTTATTAGAAATCGAAGTCCACCAATCGATGTGCAATTGTCCAAGGAACAAGCATGAAAAGTTTCATGTAGATCATACTTGAATTGGCCTTGCCCCCCAAGAAGAACAACAAGATAAGCAATGGTCCCAAAACACCCAAAGTGAAATATAACTAAGTATATATTAAAATATTATATATATCTTTCTTAAATACATTTTATTTTAAAGATTTCAGATGCAATATTTTCAAATAACTACTGTTAAGTAATAAATTTATATGTGTTTTATTTTGATAAGATCAACATAGGAATGGTTACATTTACTGAACAAATTCTAGTTTTACAGTGTATATGTACATGCATGTTTTAATTGTTATATTTTATCAGAAGTTAAGATACTGTTTTAATTAAGATGATATTGAAGAATATTTTTTTTATCAAAAATTATATAATAAATTACATTCGTCCAATGATCTAAACAGTTTATATAATTGTGCCTTTTTGTTCTGGATTAATAACAGACAGTAGATAAAAACATAAACTTGTATAATTTATTCAAAATACTAGGAATTATGAATTAAGAGTCACTTTCATGAATCATAATTTAATTTTAAATTAATTTTATAAATGACATCTAGAGGTATGCAGTAAACTATTTACAATGCAAATTATATATGGATATAACTACTTCTGTTCTTTGATAACGACAAAACATGATGTGTATGTGTTACGACAAAATGTGACGTGTATGTGTTATCACAAAATGTGACATTAATGTGTTACGTCAAAACATGACTTGTTATGTATTACGAAACGTTGTTATTTAATAATAGAGAAGTAATTCTATCCATATATACCCTGTTTTGTGTTATGAATATTTTATAATTAGTAAGTTAATTCTTAAATCTCCTCAAATCTACTGTTACTGATGATAATTCAATGTCACTGATCGTCATTTGAGGGATTTTTAATCCTTTGCAAACTACAATATTGTGAAAGTTAAATTTCTTAAAGAAATATCAGTCCAGGCATAGTTTATTTCTGTTCAGTACTGACAAAGATATCTATTGAAATTTATCAGCATTTTGCAAACACTGCAGATGATATATAGGATGTGACCATATAGTTTTCGCTAAAATCTTTTGATAAATTTTGTAAATCTGATTGAATTCAAACCAGAAGGTTTATTTACTGTTAATATTTTGATGATGTTTTCTTAACCCTTGTGGGTTCACGTTATATTTGCCTGAAAAACAACTAAATTATTTTACAAAAACATTTTAGTGACATTTGGAAAAGATTTAATAATTCTCACAAAATTGCTACTTTGTGTACTATGTGATAAAGAGGTTAAAATGGCAATTCACGCTTGATACAAAAACCATTGAATATCTTGAATTCATCATTTAATTTTTGGTATTTGTAACATGCAGCTGCTAAAAGAGAGAATACTCTGGCATACACAATATGGTATCAGGCAGCAAACACATTAGCAAAATCCATACGTTGAGTTGTTTAAGTTAGGGGTCCGTTTGGCCCCCTTGTTATCTTCAAGCGTTGGGCCTGATTTGCATGTAACAGAACTCTGCATGTGGGAAACAGATGAATACCGAGTTCTTCACTACGTGTAAAAATGTATAGGAGACAAAGTCACTAAATTTCAGAAAGCAGTGCCGAGTAGTTTTTTACACAACACTATAAAACATGTGCATGGGCTCCACGGAGACCCCACGTGCACCAACAAGGGTTAATTATATGTTAAATCACATATTTTAGCGTGTATCAAGCAGTGAAAAATTAGATATTGTCCTTGTTCGATAAATATAAATGACGGTCGATAACTTTAATAGGATTCATGAAAGTTGATTCTTTGAACAACCTCTATAAGACATTTTACTGGGTTGTTCAAAATTCGTTTTATGCAGAAAAACTATTATTCATTGATGTTAATTCTACCAAAATAAAATATCTAGGAGCCTTATTCATGAAAACTATAACTAAAATATTTTAAGAAGACAGTCTTTTCATTGGCTAAGAGCTCAAATTTGAACTTTAATTTTAGTTTTTTGGCCAATGAACAAACAGTTTTCTTAAAATATTTTAGTTTTAAATTTTCATGAACAAGGTCCAAGATTAATGGCTTGTACATTGAACTGGACAAATATATCATTTACTTAACAAGTTACAGGTAAAGTAGCCATTTTATTAAAGATGACTTTGTAACCGGATCATATCACATGGTCAGTAATTTTATGCAAATTTAAATAATGGCATTTGGTGCATTGTTTCTATTTTAGCATGATTTAATAATTGTATATAGTGTGCCTTCATATTTGATCCATCCAATCATTGTCCAATCACCTCAAGCCTTTTAAAATATTATTGCAATCTGTCCAATGGCGAAGCAGATCCTTTACTGATCTGTCTTATCACACTGAAGCCTTTTTACTAAAATTTTGACAGAACTTAAACACTTATCTTTGAAAACTTGAAATCAGAATTGTTCAATTTAATCTTAGTCTTGCAAAAGACAGCTGCGAAATTATGCAATGGGAAGATTTTTATACAGATCTGTCCATTTATAAATAGCCTTATAAAAAGTGGAATAATTTATATTTAAGAAAAGACACTGGTGTCCAATTAGAATAAGTTGTGATTCTAAAAATACTTTAAAAGATTACTTATTTATTCTACTTTTATTTTAAGCACCTCTTGATCCGAGGTTTAGAATCAAGAATTTATGTATTTGCTCAACTGAGTTTTTACTCTAAATTAGATCAATTATTTCAGATAAGCAGATTTCTGCCTTGAGGCCACAGTATACCAATTTGATTTCTGTTCTTTGGAACACTTGTTAAAATATTTCTTCAAGAAAAAGACTAATTTAAAAACCAAAAGTACCAAGACCCTGAAGAACAGATAATCAAATTAGTTTGGCCTGATGATCACGATTATTTTCAATATGGTAAATTTTTACAAGTTCTTCAAATTTGAGTAAATTCTCAGATGCAGAGTTATATATAAACACAAAACCTTCAGGATAATAAATATTTGTATAGTTTATAAATATGCAATAATTTTCAAATAGAAAACATAGTTGTTTTATTTACCGTAAAAATAACACAAATAATCTACTCTTGTTATTTATTTTACACCATTAATTGTAAATAAATTCATTTTTCATTTTAAATATCAGAGTTGGAAAAAAAAATAAGTCCATGGCCTCTTTAAGAAAAATTGCATAAGATGTAATAGGATATTTTAGTGTTCAGTGAATGTTTTATTGAAAGTTTGTACATTTATGTTATGCATCAAATTTAATATTAATACTTTTATTATTGCTTTACATATAATTTTAAAATTGAATCATATGAGAAACCAGGAATGAAATATAATTTTTTACTTGTTACAGACTATGTATAATTAAATTTTCTTATTGAGGTCATGTTGTTTTTGTTTTTTAACTATGATAATCAAGTTGAGAATTTGGCAATAGTTTTAGACATTTTTTTTAAAAATATATATATATATATATATATATATAAAAATCTTGAACTGTTGTTTTATTTTGGATTTTTCACTTGTTCAATTTAGAATCATTCATTTTACTTGTCAAAACTTTACATGGTAGTTATCATTAAAAATAAAATCATAAAATAATTATATTATAATATATTATACATTTATATCATACCTACATATGTACAGTAAGTTTGACCATAAAGGCTTTTCTACTAGATATTTAAAATTTGTTGGTTTTGATTTAATTGGAGCCGCATTGGCAAAGTGAGTATGACAGTGGCTTACTAAGCAGGAAATCTTGGTTCAATTTCGATGTTGTTCATGATTTCCACTGTGGTTTCACCTTGAAAATGAGACAGAAAACTGAGGTGCCGTGTAGGCCTACTGGTGTGCATGTTAAAGAACCCATGACATGGTCTGTCATTTACTCAAGTGGTGTGGTTTCAATCTCAAACTTTTACGTGACAATGGTTAGTGTCACCTGCCCAAACTCATGAATTTTCTCTGGGTTCTAAAGTTTCCTACCACAGATAAAGACCCCTATGCATATATTAGTCCCAAAATGTCTAGTTTGTGTTGAGCGGGCCTGTAGCCAGTTCATAAAATTTGCTGGGGCTACGGAATATTTTGGATGTTTTGGAGGGGCTAAGGATGTGGCAGGTTAAGAACGCTCCTAAGAAATCATTATTGTTGGCATAAGAAATCATAATTATATTGTTGGCAAAATATTTGTGGGGGCTAGTACGTGTATTCCTGTTCGAGACTAATACCAGCTTTAACACATTAGGCAGCATTCTCGGGGTGAAAATCTGGTCACCTTTGCTCCCGCTAAACCGGTCTACAAATCGGACTATCAATATTCGTGAAATCAATATGTCAACAAAGTTCTCCAATATAATTTGCCAATTTAATAGTTCAAGTTCGAAATAGGCTAGAAATCGATGGCTTATTTCTTTATAGTGCGGAGCCATATTTGCGTAGATGTGAGTTGGATCCTGCGCAGCTATTTAAAATTTGGCCAATCAGCGGTCGCGCTTGCGGGGTTGCGGTCAAAAATTCTGGGGTCAAGTGCCAGGTCATAGCATTTGTAAACAAAACCATGTGCACGATTCACCTTGCTAATTGCTCGCGGTCGGGAAGAACAGAGATGAAATTAACCCAAAAACGTCCCATCGGTGTAGAGAAGTGGTGTATTAGAGCCACAAAAGGTATTTTGATCACGCACTGACATAAAATGTGGCAGTCAGTCAGGTTTTTTCGACACTGATTAAGGATATTGGAACGGTCGATTTCACCAGAAAAATGCCTTAACATCAAGGGAGATTACAGAGAATACAAGGTCGCTACTTCTATAAGTGTAATTCTAATAAAATCATTCATTTTACATAACAACATACATGTACTTAAAACCTGTCTAGCCTGCTGTCTTAATAATTATCATGGATTGGCTAGTGTATAGCTAAGATTAAGAATGAAAAAAACATATTTTGAAATAAAGGTTGAGAACTTAAAAAGTTGCAGAAATATTAAGAATAAATGCTTAAATAATTTGAACTAGCTCAGAATTGTCAGGGAAAAGCCCATATGGACGAAATAAAATTTTGCATCTACAATGTATAAGCTTACAATAGATATGAATTCAAGTAACACTTGACTGTAAGTAAAAGCTGTCAAATTTCATTCTCATATAGAAAAATGGGTTTTGTCTGCAAAATATGGGGCTCACCTACGACATAGTGTACATGTAATCATCGATAAAAGTGCCAAACACATTTTCAATGTCCGAATCTTGCTTCTGATAAATAAAAATTCTGATTTCTTTAAACAATTATAACAGATACTGTACATGTAGTCGATCAAATCCAAAACTAATTACCTTTGATTTAAAAAATATTTTTGATCACCTAAGATAAATAAAATACAATTTAATAGAGGATTTCCACTAAGAGTAAGACACTAACTCATTTAGTAGTTAGAATAAGGCTACCGGTATTTGTTTCACTGGACTTATCAAAGCAGCAAAAGTGTTATTGGTGCTTTAAATAAAATAATAAAAATGCTGTTTTTATTTCGCACTGGACTAAATTGTCCCTCTTCTGTGTGGCCCCCGCTCGAACATACTTGGATTTTTTCTTGAAAATTATACAGATCTCTGATAAAACTGACTTCTTTAACTCTGATGAAGTAGTAACAAGTACTGCACCATGATGTGATTCCTCTGGTGAGATTAATTAAGGAGTAGGGGTGAATGAGACACACTTTTAGTTTTTAAAGTTGTTAAGTACTAGGCCTAGTAGTAGGGATTATGGACATAAAGGCCCTAAACCAAAATGGCTCAAGTATTTGGTCATAACGGTCAAACATTTTGGTCATAACTACATAACGGCCAAAACATTAGGGTCATAATGGCCAAAAAAAACATTTGAATTTTGATATTTATGTATCAAATGATATTTATTAATATAAATATTGCATAATATAAATACCAATATTTCTTAATAGATAATATTTTCATATACGTTATTTAATACATAAATTTAAATACACTGTAGACATTTATACTTAATTCACTGTATAACTATAACATACATAATTTACAAAGACATCTATTTAATATGGAGGGTGGGTGGCGAATGGTTTAACATGTACACATGAAATCATAAGGTCTGTCATTGCGTCAAGTGACGTTGTTTCAATTCTCCGCTTGTACGTAACAAGGACTATAAGGGTCACTTGTTCAACCTTGTGGGTTTTCTCCGAGTCTCCCAGTTTCCTCCCTCTGATACAGACCCTTACACGCAAGTGAATTATTTAAATAAAAAGGAACCATATGTTCGACCCCAAAATGACCTACTTTGTGTCGACTGGACATTAATGTTCAGCTCATGTTACTTTATCAGTGGGGTGTGAAGGACTTAATTAGGGATTATCAAAAACTTTGATTAATTAGTATTCCCGTCTTTCCTTTGAATCACAGCATGCAATGTTCTGGGTTGACTTGGATGGTTATATTCAATTCTTTCATTCACAAATTTTTTCTGGACTTATGGTCTGTAGCCTATGATGCACCTTTATTACATTTATTTATTACTTCTACTAGTTGGAATAGAAGTGGTCATATCTTGTTGAAGGTTCGGTGGAACCGTTTTTAAAATAGGCCTATTATGTTATGAGTGAATTGTTATTTTTGTCGAATGATTAATATACTAATAGTCAGTTGTTATAATGTTTTGTAAAATATATTATGACCACATCACAGTGAATAGTCTGTATGTGGTGACAGTTTTAGTTGCGGTTGGACTGACTGAATGCAGACGCTGCCTTCTCACTCTATTTCTTTCTCGCATCTTTTAACTGTTTTGTTCTTAAAACATCTATGAAACGTTGGGTGAAATCCAAAATCACTGCCGACTGTATCTTCAGTATAATATCCTTCGTAATAAATCCATTTGTATCGAAAATGACGAAAAATGCTGCAATGGATTGGTCATTTCCATCCAATTGAAACCAGTCTATAGGGTATCACGTCATTTGGGACTCAACATAAACGACATTTTGGACTTGGTTCACGACGTTTGGGACTCGGTTCACGACGTTTGGGACTCGTTTGGGACTCGGTTCACGACGTTTGGGACTCGGTTCACGACGTTTGGGACTCAATATAAACGACAGTTGGGACTCAATATAAACGACAGTTGGGACTCTTAAGAATTTATGTAGAAATATCAATAACTTATCTTTTTTCGTTTTAGACGATGGCAGAAGACTCAATATAATAAACGACAGTTGGGACTCTTAAGAATTTATGTAAAAATAGTAGTAACTTATCTTTTTTCGTTTTAGATGATCGCCGAAGACAGATTGAATTGAAGACAGATTCGGAATAATAAAAAAGAAATGAAAACATTATTAGTTGTCTTTTATTTAAAAAACATTATTGAACATTTAATTAAGCTGTTACTATTCAATTGAAAAGAAAAACACGGCTGATACCTGTCTTTTGATGGCCGAAGACAGATTAGGAATAATGAAAACATTATTATTGATCATTTAATTGAGCTGTTACTATTCAATTGAAAAGAAAAACACCGCTGATCACCGTTACTATTCAATTGAAATAAAAAACACCGCTGATCACTGTCTTTTGTTGTATTTAATCAGGAGTTGATTAAAGCCCTGAAGAAAAACACGACCGATACCTGTCTTTTGTTGCATTCAATTAGTGAAAACACCCTTAATGATTAAAGCCGTTAATAAAAACACGGCTGCTAATCCCTGTCTTTTGTTTTATTCAATCTGGAGTTGATTAGTGACACGATTCACTCCTAATCCAAGCCCAAATGTATTATATATACGTGGCATATTCCATTCCTAGTCATTCTCAATTTTCTACGAATCTATTATGGCTAGTGTAAATTGCGTCAAGTGTTCCAATCCCGTCCGTCCTTGACAAGAAGGCCTTCTGCCAGAAGACATAGCCCTGGAAACGTGTGTCGTTCGAAGCAGGTTTATGGCAGGCGTTAAGACGTCGCTTTGGAGACATACGCATCCAGGGCTGTGTTTTCCACTGGGCCCAGGCAGTATTCCGGAAAATACAGGAAAAGGGCTTTCAGGTACGGTACATATATTCTTCTTTAAGATTCTACAATATAGATATACATGTTACAATATATTCTTCTTTAAAATTCTACAATATAGATATACATGTTACAATATATTCTTCTTTAAAATTTTACTATATAGATATACGTGGTACAATATAATCACTGCATATAACGAACATTTTAATATTTAATTTCAGACAGTGTACAACGAGAAAAAAAAAGGTATACGACTACTGTAGGAAGTTGATGGCGTTACCGTTTCTACCAGCTCAACACATCGAGGGCATGTTTTATCACTTTCGCGCCTGTCATCAATTACATCGAGGAAACCTGGATCCGTTACAATTTATTCCCCATAGATCAATGGTGTGTATTCATGTTGCCGTTGAGGACCAACAGTAACGTAGAAGGTTGGCATAACAGATTGAATTCAAGAGTCAACGCCAGAGGCCCTGTGTGATTTTATCTGCTAATTTGCGAATTATACGTGGAAGCATCAAAAATAGGATTAGATATAGTTATGATGTCCGAAGGTTCTTTGCGGCAACACCAGAGAAAAAAATACACACAGGTAGAAGGGAAGTTATTTAGTATTTGGGAAAGATACAACGGTGG